AATTAATTTTTTGACGAATGCTTTTTTATAATAACAGAGACGTCCATTTTCATAACTTATTATTAAATTGATTTCTGGTTCAAATCCACATTTATTTAGAATAATTTATTAACTAAGACAATTAAGTATGTAATTTATTAATATTTAGGCGGAAATAATGGTGGTATATTTAATTGGAATGCTATTTTACAAAGATATAAATGGTTTTCTTTTTGTCAACAAATGGGCTAGTATATTATCGGTTTTAGCACATGTACTTTTTGTACATTTATGGCTTTAAAAAAAGATCTAAAATGTCAATATTCCATAATAAATGAGGTCTAAATTATAAGAAAATGCATTTTCTACGAAAACTTAAGAAAGAGATAGGTTAAAATGGTATAATACAATTTTGTAGATAATTAAATAAATAAGTTGTTCATCCGAATCACCTAAAATATACAAGGTGTTACTACGGGGTCTCACACCCTCTTAATAGTCTAGGGGGCAGTGAAGATTTTCGGTACTTATTTTCCCAGTCAGCAAACACCGATAGAATTATTTCGTATGTTATTCTAAGCAAATTTCATATACATATAGAGGGGAGTTTTCCGATGGGTTGAAGTGCAAATTGCGTTTGAAAGTACAAATATACTGCACTTTTTTCCAGCGATAAAAATAGTATTATTAGTTAGAGATCTTGTGCAGCTAAGAAACAAAGAGTATGACTAATATTTGAGAATTGGGAATATGTCTGGCAGGTAAAAAATTGATAAAAAAAAAATATTGTAACTATTGCCCTTATTTTCGCAGTCCTAAAAATTTGTCAGATGATAGTTTATATTACAATTACAGCTGGTAATAATAGTCTGGCTAATGTAGAATATATATATATATATATATATATATATATATATATATATATATATATATATATATATATAAAGAGATGGGTAGTCTACGCGACTGACTAGTTGAGAAAAATATTCAAACAGGTGTCTTGGGGATGCAGTCTCATAAGAAGGCCGTTAGTTAAAGGAAAAACCCTTTATTGTTTAGTCAAGCTTTCGAGAATTCAGTTGTTCTCTTCTTCAGGACTCTTCTACAATTATAGTAATTAAATACAATTTCTATTCTTGTAAAAAAACTATTAAAATGCAACTCACCAAAGTGGGATTATGGTAAAGTTTACAACATTGCTCAACAATCAAAAGAATCCTCATTTCTCAAATGCAGTAGTAAAAATCAACTTTTAAAATACACGTGAAAACTAACTACAAAAACTTTATAAAAAACAATACAACGTGTATGTGAGTACAAAGTCAAAGCACGAAAATTGCATGTCAAAAATCTTAAAATACAATAGCAATTAATTCTGCTTCATGAACGATCTAATTATTTTATTGTAAATACTTAAAAGACAAAAGAAACGAATTAATTTTCAAGATTTTCTTTACAGTAAAGTGCGTTTCTGTTAGCACCGCCGATCGTTCACTAACGAACACCATAGTTTCAAAAAAGGTAAAATATGTTACTCTTGATAAGTAAAAAAGGATAAACTTATGCATATAATAAAAAGAGTGAAAGAGAAACAACTACATAGAAATATTTTGACACATTGGTTCGTTTCATCAGCGAGATCGACCATGCGCAATATAACATCAATGCTACACTGAGAAAACAGGCATTAGACAACTTGATAAATTAATTTAAGTAAAAAGAAAAAGTTTTTCTTTACATAGAACCAGACTAGAATTTACTTTAGAATTGAAAAGAAAAGCAAGATCTCAAAAAAGAGAGAATTGTAATACAAATTTTAGTATAAAATAATATCTTAACATTCAAATGACATTAAGCGATGGTGAAATACAAAAAGCGATAAAAATCTTTTCAGAAACTCAACAATCAAACCCCACCCAAGCTACAGTATGAAAATATAACTATTGAGAACCTTGAGTAGCCACTTGTCGCAATGAACCATAGTTGCCACTGTACAAGTCTAAAATGTAACCGTAAATGACACTAAGACTCTGGGTGTCACTTCTTTTATTCATGGTGTTAGCTTGTGAATTTATGTGAACCATTTCAAGAAAAGTTCTTTTACAAAATGAGTCAGCTCTATGCCTTCTTATTAGACTGCCTTATCGCCTTCTTATTAGACTGCATCCCCAATATACACCTGTATATATATATATATATATATATATATATATATATATATATATATATATATATATATATATATATATATATATATATATATATATATATATATATATATATATAAGCCTTGCCAGACTCTTCACGGTCGTCAGACGCACTAAATTCGGCATATTCAATTATTGTGATGAAGGTGATTATTGTCATCTTTACATGTTTTTGCTTTTCATTATTTATGATAAGAAAAGAATGAATATTGGTTTAGGGCTATTTTTGTCTATGGCTAAAAACAATTTTTTCAAACTTTTGAGACACCAGAAATCCAAAAAACAGGAAGTTAGTTAGGAAAATGTCAATCCGTCCGTCCGTCATCAAAAAAACTGCATTGGCCAATAAATTTGTAACTATCATTGATACGAAAAAGTTCGAATCGATCTCTTGGCTTTATTTTGTATCGCCCTTATTTTTTGAAAAGCACGAAATTGCAGAGTGTCAAAAATGTCCGCATCTAAAAATACGAGCATCGTTGCCCAAATACGCAGGTGCCGCTTCCTCTCCTTACTTAACTACCTGATTTGTGGGTCTGACTGGACTTTCCTGATTGTAAATGACAGCTAGCCGTGGATTTTCTAGGAAATTATAGTATTGTTTATCATGTGACGAATTTTCACATTCGAGAAAATAAGAGCAAAAGTTTTGTAATTTATGCATTTTTAAGATGCCTCATTTTCCAATTTCATCAGCCAGACTTGCTTTTGAGTATAGTTTCTGATTGTATCAAAAGATACATTAAATTTCAAGCATGGGAAAATAAGGGTTAAGGTTTTCAAAAATATGTCAAACTTTCAGCCTTGACTTCCTCCGCTTGGGACGTGCCAGACTGTTACGTCTATTAATAAAATGATTCACTTTAATGAATGTCAAATATTTATGACTGGGAAAATAAGTGGACATTTTTTATTTTTATTTAGTGAACCTATCCGAAAATTTTAGCCACACTCACAAGTTGTCATTAAATGTCACCATCCGAACATACATATTTATATTATACATATAATCACTCATTCTCATAATCATTTATATTATACATATAATCACCTACTGGGAAAATATGTACCAAAAAAAATGCTGACTCTTGGACTATAAATATTAACATGCCATTAAGGAACACACTGTAATTAGCTATAATTTATAGAACTAGACCACTTTATTTAGTGTAATAATGAATCTGTGTTAATTCATGACCTAATTATCGCATTAATAATGCACTAATGCGCTTGGGGGTGTTTCATAGCTATGCGAATTAAGCATCGGTAATTAGTGATGTCAGTTGGATTCTTTGATGTAATAATTGGACACTTTTCTCTCTCAAATAATTGCATTGCTATAATTCTTTATTATCGAAAATATTTTAAGAAAGGTAATTTTATTCTTTGGTGGGAACTAATTTCCTAGGTTTTAAATTTTCAGTTTAATAATTATACTTTGATACTTTTATATTAACCTTTTATATCTACCGTGTGGCCTGTGGTACCTGGTGCTAAATATTTTATCTTACAGCGTGGCAGTGCAGGATAAATACATAATAGGCAGCTGGGTATTTTTAGGAGATGGTATGACAAAATTTCTTACACATTTGAAAACAGCATCTTACTAAGTGCAATGTGGTAATACAGCAAAAATATGGCGTTGACGGTCTTGGAGATCCTACGCCGAGCCCTACGTTAATGAAACCGAAAGTTAGTTCATGTACTGGAAGTAAATATATTATTTCTGATACTTTTCTGAAGCTGTTAGTTATGAACAGTTTCAGAGCCATGTGCTCTCTGATTACTCGACACGTAAAGAATGGGCTTAAAATGTTTTAGATTATAGTATAAGCTTTAGCGGAAATTTGAAAATTAAAACTGGGACTTTTTTATGTAAAAAAGGTGCTCTTCGTTTAGTTCGAAAGATTGAACGGTTTTCAGGTTATTTTCGTTTAAAGGTTCCGATGCATCGATTTTATTATTAACGAAATCAGGAGATTAATTTATTTAATTTTCTTTACATTTTATCATTTCACTAATACTAAAATCGAAGCCTCGTAATCTTTAAACGTAAATATCTTGAAAATCGTTCATCCTTTCGAACTAAACGAAGGGCACCTTTTTATGTATAAAAGTCCCAGCTTTTTATGTCATTTGTTGAAATTACTGTATCTATAAGGATAGAAGAAGTACCACCAGTAGTACTCTCCACCCTAAAAAAAAGTACCTTTTCAGGGCTGTTACGGAATTTCACACGATCGCCATTCGGTTTGTCATTAAAATCTGTTTAAGAGTACCAAATTTTCAGGAAAACGGTTTACGAAGGTTTTTAAAAATAAACAAAATATATTATTTTAATTTAACCTTTCGAGGGCTGTAATTTCTACGGAAAGCATTTTAGGGCATATGTTCATACGAACATTTTTGTTTTATTTTTATCTGTAGAATCACCCACCAAAGTTAGATACACTATTTTTTGACACCCTGAAAGCTAGAATAATTATTAACTTTTATAATAATTATTGTTAGAAAATAAATATGACTTAAATAGAAAAGACAATAACATTTTATAACAAACTGAAGGAAGAGTGGTAGAAAATGACTTATCTACTCAAAATAAGGGTTACAAAATAATTAGATTTTTTACCAGTCTAGTAAAATTTATTGGTTAATTTTCAACTGTTAAAAATAGTAAAAGCAAAAGAAAACCATAAAGAAATGTATGATGTAATAATGTACATGTAGGAATAATGCAGATGTAACACTGGTGGCAAACGGTTCTTATTATAGTAGCAATTAGAAAAATAATTTGTCCTTAACTTAAAAGAATAGATGTATTTGCCGTTGTCAGTATGAACGCCGATGGCCATTACCGACTCTCGGTATTCTCCGACGAAGCTGTTCCGCTATTTGGACCAAGTCTACCATGTCCGCCAGTTTTCGACGATCCTTATCTTTTTCGAGAATTCCTGTTGGTGAAAATGATCAACGGCGAGAAAGCAACGTTTGATACACCAACTTTTGCAAGGAAACGACAAAGGACCTTAGATATGCTGATTAAAGATCTTTATTCTGAGCATATGACTGACGCGAGAATGGTAAGTCAATTAGTAGTTGTTAGGTAATATAACAGTTGAGTGTTGGAACCTTTGGTGTTACAACACCAAAATAAAATACTGATTCACCAACTTCTGAGGTGTAATTATCTGCTGATGATGCGATTTAGCGAAACGGGTATCTAGTGTTTAAAAGTAAAGTGTTTTGGTGTATTGCGGTGAATTAGTGTTTTAGATAATTATTCTGAAAACTGGAAATCGTCCGATTTTCACCATAATTGGTATACACCCTATTTTGAAGTCGTAGATTACGAATATGAAGTTTTTTCCTGGCGGTCTCTTACCGTTTTTCAGAAAAACGGAAAATAATTTCAACATTGAACTTTTCTTTATTGCAGCCCTCTAAAGTAAAAATTTCACAATATTTCCGTTATATTATAGTTTATCTAAAAGCCACACTTGATTTTACTTTTGAAAAATTTTACTGAAAAACACTTTTCTTAACAAAATAACAAAGAAAATTGAGACATGGAAGTTTGACATTTCATATATCTTTCTTTCTCTCTCCTATGTAATGAGAGAGACAAATATATTTTAAATCTAAACTTGAAATTTGAAAATTTGCAACGTTGCCATATCTTGTATTTTTTTGGGTGATAAGGGATTTTAAATATATACCCTTACAATAGTTACAATATTAGATATACCTATATCTTGCCTATATCTACAAAGTTCGGCGAAATAGTTTTGATTGCATTGATTTCAACTATGCGGAGGGGGTTAATCTTTTGTTGTTATATTATATTAAAAAAAGATTAACGCCCTCCGCAAAGAAATTATATAAAGACTATTTATAACCACGAAGTTGCACGAAAGAGTTTTGATTGCATTGGTTACAACTTCTATATGGAAGGGGTAAATCTTTTTTTGTTATATTATATTTATAACCACGAATTTGCACGAAAGAGTTTTTGTTGACTTTGTAGATTTGTAGATTGCATTGGTTTCAACTTCTTTGCAGGGGGGTTTAATCTTTTTTTTATATAATATAACAAAAATAATTAACCCCCTCTGCATAGATATTTACTACATTTTTTGTCTCTTGTAAAAAACCGCTACATCACATAGTTTTTGTGAAAACATTTTTTGGAGAATTTATTTTTCCAAAGCAGACCTACAAAATATACAGGGAGTTCCAATATTCCGTGGGCATAGCACAACTACGTATTTTTTGTATCAAAATAAATTAATTGCATATTTAACTAATTAATTTACCTTTAGACAAAAGTGCTTTGTTTGTCCACTAGAAGGCATCAATCAAAAATGAACCCGAACATTAATTAATTTAAAAATTATTAATTTTTTTTTACCTTTTTATGGAGTTTATTGTCAAATATAATTTGTAATACTAAGATAAAATTCCGTATTTTCGCCAACTATTAGAGCATAGTAGATTTTATGCGCCTCCATAGTTTGATGTAATAAAAAATATTTTTTTTTCCTCAAAAAGTATACACAAAGGCGTCTTTTTACAAAAGACAAAAAATGTAGTAAATACTAAAGGGACCATTTTGTGAAAAGAAAATCGGCCGTCAGTGGAGTTGGAAAATATTTATACTGAATGTTATGTAGGGGTGGGGGAGTTTTTACCCTTCTCGTACTTTTACCTGATTTTTGTGAAAGTCATTAATTTAGCAGAACATAAACACCGAAAATCTCATTCAAATCGGTATAACGGTTCTTAAAATATCTGAAAAAAATATGTTAATTTTTTTACAGTTTAATGCCCTCTATAGGACAAACGAAGCACTTTTGTATAGAGGTAAATTGGTTAGGTTAGGTGTCCAATGAACTTATTTCTATTCCAAAAATACGTAGTAGTCCTATGTACACGCAACATGAAGACACCTTGATCGATAATCGATAGTCACATAATTTAAGTCATCTATGGGTGCGTAAATAGTAAGAACTAAACCCCAGTTTGGGATAATAGGTGATTAATTTATTTTATTTAATAACTTTATTACCAAAATTCAAAACTAACGTATCGCCACTGTGACACATTCTTCTAGCCATTTGCACGTTTTTAAAAATTTGTCTAGGAATTCCTAATGTTTATGAATTTGCACGAGTACAGAAATAACGGCCGGGTTGGGAGTAGGTAGGTACTCATGCAGCGACCAGAAATACTACATAGGCGATAACCGTAACACTTTGGAACCCTCGGTTACAAAATCGCGGTATTTGGTCGCTATTGTAACGCGACCCATGTGAAACCGGTATTCCTATCACTACAAAATCTCGTAACACGATTCTTCCACTATAAAAGTTGTGAGATCTCACGTAAAACCAAGCCAGTTTCTTTTATTTAGTTTCTATTTAAAGCACTTATTTAACAATTCTGTTATAAACTGTTAGCATCAATAAATAATTATAATGACTTGGCAATTGTACGGCACCATAATTATAAAAGAATAATCTACCATTGTGATTACTAGGTACATATAAACAGTGCACTTAGGAATAAAGTTTTTTTAATTAATAGATTATAATAGCGTGCAATTGCCAGGCTATATTATTACAAAAATAAAGATGTCTAATATTGATACTAACAATTTATAACAAAGTTTTTGATTACTTAAATAGAAAATAAATAAAATAAAGTGATTTATAAATTAATATTAACCAATTAATATTCTTGCTTTGTGCACAACGAAGTTACAGAATTGTTAAAAGTGCTGCTAATACCTTTGAGAAAAGGATGCTGCCATGTGGCTGCCAAAGGCTGTGCTCGACTTTGCGGGAATAAGGCGAGATCTTAAAATAATACTTAGTTTATAAAAATTAATCTCGTGTTTGATATGCATTTATTTTTTAAATCAATGGAACTATAGATATTGCAGGTTGCTCTCAGTAATTTGATATTAACAATATTTTAACTTACCTCTTGTTAGCTTTGCTTCTTTTTTTTGTTCTTCAATTTTTTATGGGATGGGTAAAAGGGAAAAAATGAGTCACAAATGCATTACGATCAAGATTTTTAGTAAATTACCATTAGAAATAAAAAAAATACTTTTTTAACGTTATTTTTATGTGAATATCAGTAGCAAAATTCTACATTTCCGGTAAATTAACATTTTAATGATCGTATATTAAAAAAGATTTATAAATTAATTATTATCTCTTTTATGGCTGGCACGGTTAATCCAGAAGGAGTCCACGCGGATTCTAATGCGCCGTGCTAAACACGAGTGTTTGAATTGATTCTTCTTCACGAAGTATCCAATCACACCTGGCTTCTAACTGGCGTAAATAAGTAATGTGCCTCATTAGATTTTTTACTGTTATTTTGAAACAACACAGGTTTACCCATTCAAAAGTTACGCCGTCTAACAACGATAAATTGCGGTGATCGATCGGGGACCGATGTTTCGACGTAGCTGGGCGATTGCCAATAAATTGGAATAAAAAACTTTGCTTAAACCAATATTTGAATTGACAACGTTGTTAATTTATCTTGTTAATACTTTCAATATTGTTGACAATTACACTACAATATAACGGTTACGTGCATTATATCGATACAATAGTTTTTAGTACTGTTGGCAAAAATGCTGTACAGGGTGGCGCCTCTCATACGCCGCGAAGGCTTGTATTGAAACGACGACAGTTTGTATTGAATTAAAAAGCATCAATAAATAATTATAATGACTTGGCAATTGTACGGCACCATAATTATAAAAGAATAATCTACCATTGTGATTACTAGGTACATATAAACAGGTACATATAAAAGTTTTTTTAATTAATAGATTATCATAGCGTGCAATTGCCAGGCTATATTATTACAAAAATAAAGATGTCTAATATTGATACTAACAATTTATAACAAAGTTTTTGAAGAGGTTTACTTAAATAAAAAATAAATAAAATAAAGTGATTTATAAATTAACATTAACCAATTAATCTTCTTGCTTTGTGCACAACGAAGTTACAGAATTGTTAAAAGTGCTGCTAATACCTTTGAGAAAAGAATGCTGCCATGTGGCTGCCAAAGGCTGTGCTCGACTTTGCGGGGACAAGGCGAGATCTTAAAATAATACTTAGTTTATAAAAATTAATCTCGTTTTTGATATACAATTATTTTTTAAATCAATGGAACTATAGATATTGCTGGTTGCTCTCAGTAATTTGATATCAACAATATTTTAACTTACCTCTTGTTAGCTTTGCTTCTTTTTTTCGTTCTTTACTTTTATAAGGGATGTACAAAAGGGAAAAAATGAATCACAAATACATTACGATCAAGATTTTTAGTAAATTACCATTAGAAATAAAAAAAAATACTTTTTTAACATTATTTTTATGTGAATATCAGTAGCAAAATTCCACATTTCCGGTAAATTAACATTTTAATGATCGTATATTAAAAAAGATTTATATTTAATAATTATCTTTTTTATAGCTCTCACGTTTAATCACACCCGGTTCCTAACTGGAGTATTTAGGTATTAATGAGGCACATTGCTTATTTAAGCAATGTGCCTCATTAGATTTTTCACTGATATTTTAAAACAACACCGGTTTACCCATTCAAAAGTTACATCGTCTAACAACGATAAATTGCGGTGATCGATCGGGGATCGATGTTGCGACGTAGCTGGGCGGTTGCCAATAAGCTGGAATAAAAAACTATGCTTAAACCAAAATTTGAATTGACAACGTTTTAATTTATGTGATTAATACTTTAAATATTGTTTACAATTACACTACAATATAACGGTTACGTGCATTATATCGATACAATAGTTTTTAGTCCTATTGGCAAAAATTCCGTATAAACCTTAACAGCAAAACCATTAGTTGATGAAAAGAAGTTTATCCAAATATACAATAGCAATAGTAATTACCGATTTAAAACAAAAACAAAATAAATGTTGTATATATTTATAATTAAAACGTTAAATCGTAATCGCTCTAATTTTAGAACTGCAATAATTATTTATTCTCATAAAAAAATAATAACACGAATAACAATACGA